ATAAGAATGAAACATTCCCCTCTTCCATTAGGTACTGGTTGCCAAGTGTAGAAAAATGATGGAATTTGAAAGTCATCGTTTTGTATCTGATATACTAATAACAGTGGTCATAGCAAAGTCCGTGGATCAAGAAAAGACAAAGAGGAAGGGAAAAGAGGAGGAGAGAAAGGACTTTAAATGACCAAGATGCAATATATATATATATATATATATTCACCGAAGAAATATAATTATTATGTATCACACACATACACCAATAAAATTTTTTAAAAGGAATAGAGGACTGAAGTTTAAGCAAAAGGAGTCTGAGGAAGGATATCTAAAGGTATATGGTTTTGCACGTATATGGATTCTTAAGATGATAAAAATGATCTACTAATTGTGCTTATGGTTTTACAACATATGATTATACAAAAATATTGTTTAATCATATACATTAAATGACTGAATCAGGTGGGCATGGTGGTGTGAGCTTGTAATCCCAGTACTAGGAAGGCTGAAGCAGGAGGATCACTAAAAGTTCAAGGCTAGCCTGGGTTACATTGTGAGTTCAAGGTTAGCCTGAACTGCACAGCAAGATCCTGTCTTGAAAAAAGTAGAATGAGAAAGAGAGAGTGAGAGAGAGAGAGAGAGAGAGAGAGAGACAGAGACAGAGACAGAGAGAGAAAATAAAGAAAGAAAGAAAGAAAGAGAAAGAAAGAAAGAAAGAAAGAAAGAAAGAAAGAAAAAGAAAGAAAGAAAGAAAAGAAAAAAAGACAAGACTGAATTGTATGGTTCAGAAATTATCACAATAAAGCTGTTAGTTTTTTTAATTCATGGGTGATAAAATCAATGGGTGAATGTATGAAGAGGAAAAATATGTTTACAGTGTCAAATTGTTTCTCATCAAACTTATTCACTGTTGAGAGAAAACAGGCCTATATTCAATTAACCTAGTGAACATACTTTCACCAAGTACTCATATGGAACATCACTGTTTTGGGCATTATATCTCTGATCAGAAATGTAGATGAAAATTTCCAAGCAGAGTTTCTGATTCCCTGAGTATGGCTGACGCCAAAAATCATCAGTATTTGGCAATGAGGCAGGTAACCCTGATAATTTCTCGCCTTCAAATGCTGGGTGTTTGGTTACCCTTTAAGCTTTGAACATACTTCAGCCTGTGTGCTTCCAGAAAGTGCCTGTAGCTACCACATATGATATCTGAGTTTGGGTCTTTCCAAAATTGTGCAGAAATTCTCTTCTGCCTGGAAATCCTGCTCCACTCTTCCAGAACAAATCTTTCCCTCGAGCTTTGCCATCAGTAGACCATGCAGCATCCTTGGTTACCTTTATGAGATTCTGTGTCTTTAAAATTCTGGGAGTTTAGCATCATCTGAAGAAAGTTCACTCGTTGCTAGAAGAAAGAGAAATTTCAAAAACAGAAGGTCCATCATGAAGTCACAAGTAAATCAGGAGCAAAAGACTAGTTAGTATTGATTCATCATTGAAGGACACTGTCTGTACACCTTGGATATTAATATGCTTCCTAGAGGAAAAACCAGTTATCTACCCAAGGACTTTTGGCCTTTGCCCTCCCAGATTTGCACTCTGGTTTCCAATCACACATTTCTGGCCAGACAGTGGTTTATTCTCCTATTACACTTCATTGTTCAAGAAGAACTCAGACTTCAATACTTTCTGTCTTCTTCCCTTAATTCTTAAAACAATGGTCTATAGATTTATTTGGTGACATTTCCAGAGTTCATTGTGAAGTCTGTGTGATCACCTTCAAATATTCAACACTCCCAGAACACTACAAAATCCTCCCAAAACCTATCCTGTCTTCTTAATATACTGACATCCTTGTTTCACCTGAAACAAAGCCGGGATCCTAGCATCACAAATCTAAAATAGACCCCTGCACATTCCATGCCAATAAATAAATTCAAATTTAACACAAACTGAACTCTACCAGGTCCCAGTAAGAGCCTCCACTGGACATTGTGTCATGCAAGAGGCTTAGAACTGAAATAATTCTTTACCGATATAATACCGATTCAAACAGTATTTTTATTCTTTAACAATTTTTTACTGGAGATTGAACCCAGGACCTCTTTTATTCTTTAATAATTTTTGAGAAAAGGAAAATGATAAAGTTCTTGTTTTAACAATTCTTCTGCCATGACACACTGAATTTTATTACTACTTTTGTATGTTAAACTCTCTCTAACTCATTTTCATGCAGACTTCTCCACCTCCACCTTCTTATTTCCTGGAAGACATAAAAACTCTGCTGCTCTAAATCTAAATTCTCTATTAAACAGAGAAGTGTACAGATCACATGTATACAGCCTGAAACATTATTAAAATATTAATATCCTCATGTCACCACCACCATCACCACCTCATTTTACCTTCTTGTTAGATTCCAGATGATTTTCTTTTGTCTTTTTTACAAATTTTGTGAAAAATTTCAAAGAATCTCGTGGAAAAATAGAGATACTTAACATCTCATACAGTTGAGTGAGGAATGGAAACATCACTACACAGAAAAGAAAATTCCATCTTTAACAAAAATGCAAATTTTACTTTTTTCAATTATGCTTTCCTGAAACAAAACCCTAAAAGTCACCATTTTCACCAGGAGCTTTTAGTTGTCTGACATGTGTGCTCAGGAAGTCAGTGGGGACTGAGCAAGGGAATGTCACACAGAAGCCCACAACGTAACGATGAGATCAGTGACCCCTTCTTCATTTCAGAGTGACCAAAGGAAGCTTAAATTTCCTAACTTCTTACCCTTTTCTCTAGTGGAATAGAGACTTTTTTGGGGTAAACCAGACCACGATGATCTCGCTAATGATGGTATTCAAGAAATTGCAGTCAGTATAAACTAGTTCGCCATCGAGTAAAGCCAAAAAATCAAGAACACAAAATTGGAAAATTCATTAATCCATACAAATTAATTGACACCCTCTGAAACGAACAACGAGTCAAGGGGCAATTTGGAATTCTGTTGAAATGAGTAAAACTGAAGGCACACAATTCCAAATTTGTGAATGTGCAAAAGCGGTACTCAGAGGAAACTTCACAGCTATAAATTTGTAAAATCTCAAATGAATAATCAAACTTTACAGAAATCACTAAAAATAAAAAGAAGAAACTAAACCTAAAATGAGCAGAAGGATGAAAGTAATAAAGACAAGCTAGAAACTAATAAAATGTAAAATACAGGAATCAATAAAGCAAGAAGCTAGTTCTTATAAAATATCATCAAAATTTGCAAACCTCTACAAAGACTTACCGAGAAAAAAGGATAACTTAAGTTACTAGTACCCAAAATGAAAGAAAAGAAATTACGGCTGACATTTAAAATTCTAAGCATCTTGTGAATGAGATAAAGACATCATGGTACAATGATATGTGAGTATCCATAGTTATAGCAGCACAATTCATAATACCTAAATCTTAGAAAAAGTCTATACGTTCCTCAACAGGTGAATGGACAAAGAAAACATGGTCTTCACACACAGAGGAGTCCATGTGTCGGCCAGGAATGTAGCTCAGCACCACAGCACCTGCTTGGCAAACAAGAGGTTTGATCCCTAGTATCAAAATAAAAAGGTCATGTGTCATGGTTCACTGAATTCTGACAAAGATGCCTGACCCCTGAATAGGTAAAGATAATCTTTTCAAAAATGATACTGGGAGAACTAGATAGTCACTATAAAAGAGTAAAGAGGGACCACTGAATATAAATCCTGACTCAGAATGTATCAAAAATGTAAATATAAGATCTACAGTTATGCAAGTCTTGAAAGAAAGCCAAGGGAGTAAATTTTCATGATCTCAAATACAGATTCTTAGAGAAAGCAAAGCACAAATAAAATTGAAAACTCATCTATTGTACATTATCAGAATTGAAAATTGTAACTTTAATAGACACTACCAGGAAAGTAGGTGAAAAAAGTTGCATGTTGTATATCTAGTAAAGGAACTGTACCCAGAAATTATAAACAAATTTTGGAACATAACAAAAATTATTAAACTTACAAATAATAAAAATAAATATTTTATCACATTTGTCTTAAGATGGTATTGCACAGAATCATTAGCACCAGTGAAACGAAAATCAAATCCATAGTGTTATCCCATTTCAGACACATTGAAATGGATATAATTAAAATCATGAGAAAACCAAGTGTTGGATGGGATGAAGACAAATGGAAAACATTCTGTCAGTTCCTTAATAAGATAAACACAATTACATTGTAACTCAACTGTACCACTCCTTATACACACCCAGAAGCATTGAAAACCAGTATTTAAACATAATCCCTTGAGGAATTGTTCATAAAACAGTATTTATAATAACTAAAATGCAAAAATATCTCAAATATTTATCAACTAACAATGAGTGATAACTTTGTAAGCTTTGATCCTGTGACCCGAAGCACTGTCTCTACGATGATGGTGTGTAATCTATTAACTGTTGATATCTTACTGGTTTTTCTTGAGTTCTGTATTACTTGTACCCTTACACTGTTTTGCTTTGTTTTGTTCTGTTTTTTTCTCTTTTTCCCTTTAAATAAAATTAAAAAAACAATGAATGATAAGCAAAACATATTATGGTGTCCTAAAAAATAAAGTACGTTGGACATATTTCACTTAAAAATATAATGCTAAAGGAAAGATTCCAGTCACAAAAGACCATATATTCTATAGTTCCATATATATGAAGTGCCTAGAAAAGGCAAATTTGCAAAAACGGAGTAAATCAGTGACTGATTGGGGCAAAGAGTGTGGGAATTGAAAGTGCAAAGGTATAATGTTTCTCAGGTAATGAAAATATTCTACAATTGCAATGTTGATGGATGCATATTTCTTTTTTTTAAGAGTACTAAAAACATTGTATTGCCTATTTTAACAGGAAAATTGTTCAATATGTGACTTATGCCCCCAATAAACTATTACAATAAAAAGAGACAGGTAGGAAGTTGAAGAGGGAATAGTCTACATACCTGTTGAGAGAAGAAATGGACTCAAAAAATCAAATCTGAAGAGCTTGTTGGCTTTTGACACAAAGGGATCATGTGGGTTGTTGAGGGAATCAACGTTCACCCCAAATGCTGTTGCAATGATTATATCCATGCCGTAGGCCCCAAAGATTCTGGGTGAAAAAACAGGAGAAACTAAAGTCTGCACCTCTTCTTTTGCAAACTGTTCAGGAAGTGGGACTCAGTCATACACCAGAAAGACGTGGAGAGCCACATTAGGTCAGAAGAACTACACGCTGGACCAGCTGAACGCTCTCTGCTGCCGTCACTCTCACTCATGGGGTTGTTAAAGTGAGCCAGTGATATAATTGCCCTTGTGCTCCGGGTGATGAGAACCTATGTGAGTTAGACTCTGAGCTTGTGGCATTCCATCATGAAGACTCACAGGCAGACATACTGCGGCGGTATGTGTGGAATGTGGAAGATAAATGTGCAACCACCATTTAGCAGGACTCTTCCTAGGGGACTCAAAAGCTGATACTGACCTAGGTCTTGTCTCACCACACAGTGTTCCCTGAGCTGATCCTCTTCAGCACAGCAAACCACAGCAACACCCTGTTCTGAACATCCAGAAAAATCATTCCTCCTACTCAGCATCCCTTACTCAACTTCTTGATAGATCTATTCCACCCACAATACAGGAGTCTGAGGCTGCCCTGGGGCAGAATCATTTTGGTATAATGTAAAAAACAAAAATTATCCTCATTAATAATTATAATATTGAATAATAATTGTATTTAGCTTGTGGTTATACATGCTTGCCATGCCAGTACTTGGTAGACTGAGGGCAGGAGGAGCAGGAGTATAAAGCCATCCTGGACTACACAGTGAGTGCAAGCTCAGCTTGGACTACTTAGCAAGACTTTGTCTTTAAAAACCAGCCAGGTGTGGTGGTTCATGCCTGCAATCCCAGCACTCAGGAGGCTGAGGCAGGAGAATTGCTGTGAGTTCAAGGCAAAACTGAACCACATAATTAAGCCCTGTCTCAAAAAGTATTTTAGAATATAATTATTGTTATTATTACATTGCTGTTGAAAATTGATTCCCAAGATACCAGAGTTAAGTGACCTCATGTCCCCAGTTTTCCCAGTATGCTCTGTAGAGTATCTATATATTTTAAAATGTCAGGTTTACACAATCATTGATATAGTTGTGCTCTCTCTCTCATTTTGCTCTCTCTGTCTCTGTCTCCGTCTCTCTCTCTCTCTCTCTCTCTCTCTCTCTCTCTCTCAGAAAAGGAAGGAGAAATGGTTTAAAGGTTAAATATTTAAAATTTTACTCTACCTAAAAAGTACCATGATGAGGTTTAAGCAGTTTGAAGCTTCACGTGGTAATTCCTGCCCCATCCACTGACTTTCACTGTGTACCAAGTAAATTCTCCTACTATTCCTCAAGCTTTACACTTACAACATTTTAAGGTCATACCTCTTCCTTCAAAAGCATGTATCTTATGCCTTGATAGCCAAAGTGATGAATACCTTTGGTTCCGGTACTCAATGGAGAAAACACTTCGCCCCCCAAATGCCCTGTCTTCTCTTGGAATCCACCCCTTTTTGGATGAACTATTTTAGCTGTAACACCACTTCCTGGTTTAGCACCTGTATTTAATACCTGGCTGCTGAAGTAACTTAACAATGAGAATTTCAGTTTTTTGCAGACAGATATAAATTGAGGAGCAATCTGAGGCATCATGTAGTTTTCTGAGGCAACTACAGGGTATCATGGCAACTTGGACATTAAGTGGGTGCACTTAGTTTTTCAACTAAGAACAGATACTTACTCCTTCAGTTGAACAGGTTTGCCTTTCTCTGCTTCTTGTCTCAGGTTTTTGACCAACACATCTCCATACTGTTTAATGATGGGGAACATCTATGCATAAAACACAACAGCATTTGTAACTAAATCCGTGGATTCAGGCCCAAGAACCATAAGACATTATCAATCATGAAGCAATATTTGACATTTTTATAATTAAGTTTATAATGGGTCTTCCAGGACATAAAGGCAAAAGACCATTCTGACAAAGCCACAACTCAGAGGACTACACCTTGTACAGAGAAGAGGATCTTAGTTTCTAACTGTCCCCAGATCACTGCTAAGTTCTCAATTAAAATCCTCTTAATTTCTTACTTCCTTGAGTTTTCCACTGGTGAAGTTTGGAGACAACTGTGTTCGTATTCTCTTCCATTCCTCATCCTCAGATAGGGAGACAGATTTTTTCATAAATCCCACTGGAACAAGCGACTAAAGCCCCAAGAAAAAGACAATTTATCATTCTTAAGCATAGAGATCATACACTTACAGAAAATCTGTTAAGCACGCAGCACTTGTCTGACATTTGGTGACTATTAGGTGGCAGACACCATGATAGGTGCTCAATAAGTATTTGTCATGACTGCCTTGCCTTCTGTGAGTGTGCTGAGGACATCTAGTCACCTGGTGCAGTTTCAAGCCTTTATATTTCAGTTGCTTTTTAAATACAAATGCCTTTGGTCATGGGAAACTTAAATATAAATACAAATTGTCAGAGAAAACTGTTCTTCCAGATTAAGAGCCTAGAACAGTGGTGGCATGCGTATGGCACACATGTTACAACAAATGTTTATGATGGAAAGCTCTAAAAGACGTCCTTCATCTTCCAAGATTGTGCAGTATAGAAATGGTTGGTGACAGACAGAAAGGAGGCTTGGAAAATTATATAATGCCTCAGACCAATCCTCAATTTATATCCATATGCCGCTAGGGTAATGTAGAAAAATAGGGATATCTTACTATGATGATTTTTAAAATTATAAATATGAAATATTAAGAACAATGCACAATTCTTTATTCAGGAATGCAATGAAAGAGAAATGTAATTTTATTTCCTAGTTATTTTTGTCATTGCTAAGACAAAACCTGAACTTTAATGATGAAAGGTTTATTTTGGCTCACAGTTTGTAGAGGCTACAGTTCATAGGTGGCTGGTTTCAAGGCAAAGTGGCGTGGCAGGGAGAGTAACAGAGGAATAACAGATCATGGCACACATAAGGCAAGAGGCAGCAAAGCAATGAAGTAGCAAGCAGAAAGCAACAACAACAGGTCTCTTTCTATGCTGTACGTGCTATTCAGGCATTGCTCACAAGCAGGGTAGGCCTCCCCATTTCCACACCCAGAACTATGTGAAACCTATCAGTGGGAGCCTTTAGTAATCATAAACCCTTAGTCCCACTATCATACAACTCATTTCCATACTCTAGATCCAGCCATCTCTAAAACACTCACTTATGACTACATGAGGCTTTGAGGGGACATTAGACAGAAGCCATAATTTCCCTGCTTGGAACTATTTTCCAACTACCTTAACTCCATTTTGTTCTAAAATGGAATCTTTGGTATTCCTTTATTGTTAAAACTCAAAAAATTGGGGAAAGGGGAAGCTTTTTCTCTACTTGAAAATAGAAGGTACAGAAAATTCTTCGGATAATCTCACTCTGCATGGTGAAAGATGCAGGGTTCCTTAAGAGTAGGAACAATTTTTTAAAATCTAGTCTCAATACTCTCACTCAGTGTCATGCTGGAAGTCCTAGGGCGAACACCAAGAAAAAATAAAAGAGCTTCAGACTACAAACAGAAAGATAGACGTGTCCATATCTTCAGGTGAGATAATAGTCAAGGCAGATCTCAAAGATTGCACACAAAAAAACAACTTCTATAACTAATAAGTTAGTTCTGCAATATTGTAGGGTTTGAGGTCAACAAAAATTAAGTAAGAGTTGTATGTAACAACAGTAATATGTGGAAACAATAAGAAAGCAATACCATTGACAAATGCTGCAAAGAAAATGAAACCTCAGGTATAAGTTTTAAGAAATTTATATAGTGTCTCCATGCTGAAGACTATAAAAAATTGATGATAAGAATCAAAGAAAACCCAAAGAAGTAGAGAGGCACAGTGTGTTCATGGACTGGAAGCCTCAATTTTATAAAAATAAAGATTTCCCCTCCATATTTATCTAGAATTTTAATTCCATTATATCAAAGTACAAAAAGACTTTACAGACATAGACAAGACTTCTGAATTTGCATGGAAAGTCAAAGGCAAAAGCCAGAGCAAAAGGAGAAGCAACAATCTGCTTCTCCTCCCTTACCTTTTACACAGGTTACCCCAACATTTCAGGGCAGATGTCACACTCACAAAGTCTCTGTGCTCTCTTCTCATACAGGATGAGGATATTTATGAAGTAAAGATTCTGTCTACCTGCTGAGTCTCTTAGTAAAGCTTCTAAACTTCTCAAGTTGACACAATGTATCAACCACAACAATAATTAATTCAAAAAATCATAGGCTGAAAGTCAAAGAATGGAAAACAATACTTCATGCAAAATAAACTCAGAAAAAAATCAGGGGTAGCTAGTCTACTTGCAGAAAAAGTGAATTTCAAACCAAGACTAATTAAGAGAGACCAGGAAAATCACTACATTCTTGTAAAGGAAACAAAGAGGAAGAGAGAACAGTGATAAATATATATGCACCAAATGCTAGTGTATCTAATTATGAAAAGAAATATTAAAAGACATGAAAAATCAAATTAGCACTAATGCAGTTGTAATGGAGGATGTCATTGCCTCACTGTCACAAGTAAACAGGTCAACTAAACCAAAAAATACACATAGAAATATCACTACTGAACCAAACTTTTGAATAAATGGAATTAGCTGATATTTGCAATGTTCCTTCCAGCATCAAAATACATATTCTTTACAGTTGCACACAGGATGTTCTCCAAAACACACCACATACTAACTCTTAGAAAATGCCTAAGTAAATGCAAAGTAGTTAAAATTATCCTATGCATGTTATCAGGATATGGTACAATGAAATTGGAAATCAATGACAAAAGAAACTACAAAAATTTCAAAAATATATCAAAATTAAGTAACATCATGTTGAGCAACCAATGAATCACAGATGAAATTAAAGAAAAATTAGACACATTTTTGTAATTACATGATAATGTTAATACAATGTACTAAAAACTTAGGGAACATGATGAAAGATGTCCAGTGCTTGTGGGAAATTTCTAACAATGACTTTCCATATCAGAAGAACAGAGAGCTCAAATAAATAAACTATTTGAATCTGAAACTTCTACAAAAAGAAGTCAAGCCCAAAGCTCATGTGAAAGAGGAAATTGTAAAGATTACAGCAGACATTAATGAAATAGAACCTGAAAAAAGCATACAAAGAATCAATGAATCAGAGTTGTTTCTGTGAAAGATTAATCCAATTGAAAAACTCTCAGCCAACCTAAAAAAATGGAAAGAAACAAATCTATGAAATTAGGAAGGCAATGGGCAAAATCACAACAGATTCTGCAGAAGTACAGATCAGCACTACTTATTTTAAGAACCTGTATTCTAAGGAACTGTAAAACAGAAGAAATGTATGGAATTCTAGGCACATATGAACTGCCACTCTGAATCAAGAAGATATATTATATGTATATCTAAATAAAACAATATAAAATTTACTAAAATTTAACACAGAATTAAAAACCAAGCAACAAAAAATATCCCACGTCCTTACAGCTTTACTCTATTCTACAAAAATAGAGTAAATGAATTCTACAAGAAATTTAGAGAACAACTAGTGCCACTACTCCTCAAAGTCTTTAATGAAGTTGAAAGGCAAACAGTACTCTAAAATTCATTCCTGGAAGCAAGCATGATCCTAATACCAAAACCAGAGAAGGACCCAACCAAAAAGAAAACTACAGGCAAATTTCCTTAAGGAAAATAAGTGCAAAAGTCCTCAATGAATTACTTACAAGTAGAGTGTAGCAAATAATCAAGAAGACTATACACCATGACTAAGTTAAGATCCATTCCAGGGATGTAGGGATGCTTCTGTCTACCTAAATCAATGAATGATCATCTCAATAAATGCATAAAAAGCATTTGACAAAATCCTTCACCCATCAATGATTTTTAAGACTCTACTGAAAGTTAGAATAAATGATCTTTATTTCAATCTGATAAATGCCAACAGCCAACATCATACTAAATGGACAAGTGTCAGGGATATAGTACAGTGGCACAGGGCCTGCCTGTCAAGTGTGAGGTCCTGAGTTTGATTCCTGATACAAAAAAAATACATGGACAAAAATTGAAAACTTTCACTATAAAATTAATAAAAAGGCAAAAATATCCACTATCACCACTGCTATTCAATTCTAGAAACATTAGTCAGAGTGGTTAGACAAAAGAAAAAAATAAAAGGAAAAATGATAGAAAAAAAGTGGCTAAATTGTCATTATTTGCAGATGACATGATATTCTACACAGAAAAACCCAAAAACTCCATCAAAAGACTTCTAGATTTAATAACCAGGTTCAGTAGTACAACTGGACACAAAGTCAGCACTCAAAAATAAAAAGCATTCCTGTACACAAATAACAAACCCACTGAGGGGGAAATTAGGGAAATGAGATATTTCACAATAGAATCCAAGAAATGAAATACCTGGAAAAAATCTAATGGAGGTAGAACATCTCTACATTGAAAACTACAGTTCTATGAAAAAGGAGATTGAAAGCATATCAGAAAATGGGAATATGTCCCTTGCTTTTAGGTAGTAAAAACCAATAAGGTGAAAATGGCCATAATTTTAGTACTGGTATATAAATTTAATGCAATTCTGATCAAAATTCCATAGTGTATCTCACAGAATTAGAGAAAGGAATCCTAAAATTCATATGGAACAAGAAGGGATCCAGCATAGTAAAAGCAATTTTGGGCAACAAAATCAAGGAAGGAGGCATCACAATTCCTACTTAAATCATACTACAAAGCTACTGTGATAAAAAAAATCACAGTACTGGCAAAACAGGAAATTAAATAAATAAAATAAAATAACAGACCTTAGGATCAATGGCATAGATTAGAAGATGCAGAATTCACTCCAAACATACTTAGCCACCTTATCTTTGACAAAGGAGCCAACTACCTTTACTGGAAGAATTATATTATCCTTAATAAATGCTGCCTAGAAAACTGATTTCCATGTGCCAAACATTAAAATTAGGCCCGTATTTTTCACCATGCATTATACTAAAGCCAAAATGGATAAAAGATCTGAATATTTAAGCAGAAACCCTAAATCTGAGAATATGTAAAATTCTTTCAGACACTAGTACAGGAAAAGACTTTACGAACAAAGTTCCAATCCTACAGAAAATACACAAAGATTCAATAACTGGAATGCCATCACATTAAAAGGTCTTGCACAGAAAAAAATCTACTAACAGAGGAAAGAGACAACCCACAGCGTGAGGAAAATTTTTTCCAGCTGTTCCTCAGGCAAACTACTGATATCTGGGATATATTAAAGCCAAAACATCAGACTCCCCACCAAAAAAATATTTAAAGACCCAATCCAAAATTTGGCATCTGAAATGAATAGATACTTCTCAGATGAAGAATTATAAGTGGCAAATAAATATATGAAAAATTTTCAACATCCTGGTCATTTGAGAAATACAATTTAAAACAATCCTTAGATTCCAACTCACTGCCAAAAGAATAGCTAATACCAAGAATTTAACCAATAACAACTCCTGGCAGGGCTGTGGTGAAAAAAGAACTGTTGGTGGGTTATAGATTGCTGCAACCATTGGGAAAATCAGTGTGGAGAGCCTCAAAATCTAAAACTAGAGGTTCCATTTGACCCAGTTATTGCCATTCTTGGTATCATCCTGAAAGAATTAAAAGCAGCATACCAGTGATATATGGAGACTCATGTTTATAGTGACAGTTGATAATAACAAAGACTTGGAAACAGCCCAAATGCCCATTAGCTGAAGAATGGATAAAGAAAATGTAGGGATTATTTAAACAATGTAGTACTATTCGGCCACAAAGAAGGACAAGCTTGAGACATTTCTAGGTAAATGGGTGTGCTTTGAGACCATACTCTTAAGTAAAATACACTGGACACATTGTTTCTTTAGTGTGAGAACCAAAAGTGTAAATATGGATCAATATATTTAATGAGCATTTGGAAATGAGAAGAAAATGTTCAAATCAGAAGAAGAAGAAGGGACAAGGGACGGGAAAAGTAGAGATCAGAAACTAAAAGAGTGGGAGGAATTGAAGGAAGGGGAGGGGAGGGAAAAAGAAGCAGCCAGATATATCATGTACAGGTACAAATTCCCTACAATGAATGTTATCACTAGGTATATCTAAAGTTTACCAATAAAATAAGAAACAAAAACAAAAAGAAAGACTGAAACAAAGAAATCGAAAAAGCCTAACTGAGCTTTGACCATATGTGCTTCAGCGGAGGGAAGATGGTCTCCCCAAAAATGGCACTGGAACAGCTCGATAGCCATAGGCAAAGAATAGTCTCACATTAACCTCATACATTTTTTAAAACATAAAAAAGATTATAGATTTAAAAGTAAAGCATAAAACTGTACAACTTCAAGTCCCATATTGAACTCAACTTGGAAGAGGTGAGTCCAGTCTTAAAGGAACCAGTTGAGTAAACTGTTTATTGGTGCTCAGAGCATTCAAAATACAGGTGATAGTTTGAGAGAGCATTTTGAGCAATGAGGCACTCTCACAGGTTATGTAATAATTAAAGATCCCCAAATACAGTGCTCCCGGGGTTTTGGTTTTATGATTTGTGCTTATGTTGAATTGGATGCAACAATATGCGCTTGACCACACCAAGTTAATGAGTGTGTAGTGACCAAAGAGACCTATTTCTAGAGAGAATTTTGTAAAACCTGGTGCTCATCTAACAGTGAAGAAAATTTTTGTCTCTATTAAAGATTCAGAAGGGTATAATTTGAGAGACTACTTTGAAAAGTATGAGAAGATTGAAACCATAGAAGTTATAGAAGACAGGGAGAGCGGGAAAAAGAGAGGATTTGCTCATGTCACTTTTGAGGATCATGATACAGTTGATAAAATTGTTGTTCAAAAATACCACACTACTAATGAGCATAACTTTGAAGTGAAAAGGCCTCTTGCTAAACGAGAGATGCGGTCTGCAGATCACAAAGAGGTCATGAAGGAAGATCTAGCAACTTCATGGGTTGTCGAGAAAACTTTGGAGGTGGTGGAGGAAATTTTGGCTGTGGTTGAAACTCCAGTGGAAGACGAGGCTACAGTAATGGAGGACGTGGCAGCAGAGGTAGTTATAGAGGTCATGGTGGATATAATGGATTTGGAGATGATGGTGGAAGCTATGGTGGTGGGCCTGGCTACAGTAGTAGAGGAGGGCATGGTGGTGGTAGACCTGGATATGAAAAGTAAGGTAGTGGGTATGGTGATGGTGGTAGAGGATACGACGGTTACAGTGAAGGTGGTAACTATAGTGGTGACAGGAACTATAATGATTTTGGAAATTACAGTGGACACCAGCAGTCAAATTACAGACCCATTAAGGGGAGCAGTTTTGGTGGCAGAAGCTCTGGCAGTCCCAATGGAAGTGGTGATGGATCTTGTGGTGTAACTCGAAGGTATGGTAGCAGAACATTTTAAAGAAACAACAGAAAAAGGCTTTAGTTCTTAGCAGGAAAGAGAGTGAGAAGTTATCAGGAAAGCTTCAGGTTACTTTGAGACATTTGCATTAGACAAACTGTAAAATTCTACCACAGGAGGAACAATAATGCATAATCAGAAAAGTTACTGCAGCTTAAACAAGAAACTCTTCTGGTTGAGGACTATCATGGTCACATTTTGCAAAAAGTGCAGCTGTTAATTAACGTAATATAGTGTCAATTAAATGTACATTCCTGAGGTCTTTTACCTGTTGTAGCTTACTCTTTTTATTTCTTTTCATTACATCAGGTATATGTCCCTGTAAATTGTGGTAAATTTTTTACTTAAAAAAAAAAACTGTAAGCCAGGCGTGGTGGCACATGCCTATAATCCTAGCAACTCAAGAGGGTGAGGCAGGAGGATTAAGTTTGAGACCAGCCTGGGCTACAAAATGAGCTCAATGCCAGCCTGAATTGCATAGGGGAACCCTGTCTCAAAAAGACAAAAAAATCCCAGGTCTTTCCAGAAGCCTGGCAAACACACACACACACACACACACACACACACACACACACACACACACACAAACTATACAACTTTTACCAAATACACACACAGAGACATCCATACACTCGCACACACAATAGATAAATCATTAAGCATTATCAGACTTGATAACAAAAGCAAAATCTTTTTTAAAAATCAGACAAGCTGGGCATAATGGCACATCTGTAATCACAACCCTCGGAAGATCGCTGTGAGTTTGAGGGCAGCCTGTACTACATAGCGAGATCCTGTCCCATAAAAGAAGAAGAAGAAAAATAATGAGAAGGAAAAGGATATGTGGAAAGAGAAAGTGAAGGAGAGGAAGAAAGAGAAGGAGAAGAAACAGCAAGCTATGCATCAGGACTATACAGGAGTAGCATACTTGGGGGAAAGAATACTTATGTATCTTGACTGTCCTGATTGTTATCAAATATGATCATGTGATACATTTACACAAATACATACACGCTAGCAAATGAATTCATACAAAATCAAGGTAATGCAATAAAACTTGGATTGTATCAATGTTAATCTCCAATTACTTATTACATGAATATGTTCTGTTTATACTTATGCAACATATAACCTTTAACAAAAGCATCATGGACCTCCCCATATATCACTTTTTCAACTTCCTGTGAATTTATGCTTCAAAAAAATTTTTGATTGTGTATTTTTGAGACAGGGTCTTTCTATGTAGCTTCAGGGTAAATTTGAAATCACTAGACAGCCTAAACTGACCTTGAACTCACATCAATGTTCTTCCTCAGTCTCTTGAGTGCATGCGCCACTACACCCACAACAAATTAAGAATTTAATAAATAACAAATGAAAGTTTACATTTAACATTTACTTTGTTTGTTTTGATACAGAAATTGAACTGAGGACCTTTTATTTGCCAGGCAAGCCCTGCGCTGCTGAGCTACATCCCCAGCCCAACATATAAATTTTTAAATAGATGCCTACCCGCCGGTTTGTGAACACAGAATAACATTCTTTAACTAGAACTGCTTTGATCATGTCTGGTTCTGTGATGGCCAACACAGGCTGTGGACCATCATACAACCTGTATTGAGAAAACAGAGATAATTAAATGTAACAAACCAGATTCTACATTTGAAACTTTGCCAGGAATCTAGATCTTTGACCCTGGCATTTTATAATCTACACCGCTAACAGTCAAATGCATAGCAACATTAGCTATAATTCAAGTTGGGGATTCTGACCATAGAAGCCACTAGAACTTTCACAAAATGTAAGGTTATGTTGTCCAAGCAAGGAAGAAACAAAAGATGAAATACCATTTCAAAGAGATCATAACTAGAAAGAAAACTGGAATTGTTCTCCCTACATCTAGGTGATGTGAGCATGAGTATTGCTTATACCATCCTCTGAAATGCTTTGCATGTTTAAAATATTTCAATATCATTGCTGGGATGCAGCTCAGTGGTGGTCTGCTTTCCTACTATATATAAAACTGTTAGTATAACCCCCAATGCCACAAAAATTAAAATTTAAAATGAAATAAAATATTTCTATATCAAAAAATATATTGCATCGATGACAAAGTCAAATTATCATGTGCTGAAGAGTATTTAATATTGTAAGGGGAAACTGGGGTCAGAACAATGGAGACCAAGTACTCTGTCCTTGCCATTGGATTACGTTGTATCTGTGGCACATGTCAAGTTCGTAGACTATTGGGGCCAGCAATGTGGTTCCTAAGGACTCAGGAAATTAAGAGGTAGGAAACGCAAAGCTTTCTCCCACCTGCTTGTGGCACAAAGCCCAGTATTACGTCCCTCACACTGGTCTCCAAGCCTTCAGCAGCTGTGAAAGGGAACAGCTGCTGCAGGTGGCTCAGAGAGCCTTATGAAACCACCATGAATGTAGTCCCCAGGAAAACAGTAGTTTTAAACACGTGCTACATTACTTTGTCAAAGGAGGAAAAAAGTCTTGACTTGAAATCAAAAGTAAATAAAAACACCTCCACACTTGCTGGAGAAGTTTAAAGCACTGAGCATAAATTATTTCCAAATTTTTTTATCTATATTTTTCAGGTCATATTTCAAAAGTACATATTAAGTTTAAAATTGATGTGAAGTTGGAGCATTTAACTAAAAGGGAATTTATGTTATATGATCATACATTTATGAGCACATAGCAGAAGGGTCCGAATTACTACCTTTTATGCATCTAAAGAGAACCTAAGAAAGGGAAAATGGAGAAGAGGAGAAAGGTCATACACTGCACAGAAAATAAAGATAAGAGTCTCTGAGCCATCAAAGCATGGAGAAAAGTCATAATATGCAACATTCTCAACTTAATCCAACTGTGGACCTTGACACCTAGTGACCTAGGGGACTCTTGAGAGGACAAACCTCCAAAAGCTTCATAGTATACAAACTGCGTATTCCAAGTGCTATGAGATGACACTGTCCTCACGTAGTGAGTATTCATTTTTACAAGTCTGCCCTTTGGAAGTTTCTGAAATACTCACCCCCACATATTTCCATACTTTTTACGGCACTCTATGTCAAAACTCCACATACCCTGAGAAGAGAAAAATATCCATTATTAGTCTAACCTTACTGGCCATATGTTTAATTGGAACAGATATTATTCAAACCCCATGCAATCAAGCTTACTGTCACTCACTGGAGGTAAAAAGAAGTTGATATTCATAGACATCTGAGATAAAATACTGGGAACTTTAAAGTCATTCTTGACTTTCGTAAGAATTGAACTTATTGAAATAATTCTCCCAGACTATAAACACTAAGGACCTATTTGTCTTTCCACAGCACTTTTGTTTGTGTATATGTTGTCTCTAAAATCCTGAAAAGCTCTGCATTATTCCCTTTGTGATCCCATGAATCAAACTAGACTGAGGAAAATTGAGTGAGTCTCCATGGCTGGTACATTATTTCTTTATTTCATCACCTTTCTCTGATCTCACAAGCACTCTTCATATTCTGGTCAAATTAGGAAGTTGAAGGCACCAGGGACCAACTTTAGTCTAGGTAGTTCATGGAATTCAGGGGATGTTGAGTGAAAAAATGATCAATTAGGGAGTCACAAAGTAATCGTCCTTTCAACACTCCAGTTCAACGTGGAAAGATGGAGAAGTGTCACCTCTATACATAGGCACAGCAAGTAAAATACTGAGCTATATACGAAAGAGCACATCTGACAGGTGAAGGGGAAATTATTGCTCTTTCAGTGAGGAGACAAAGTATGAATCTTGAAGCTGTTATTAGAAAATGAAACCTCATATTTCCAGAAAAACTGAAAACATCATACCACAGTGATATATGTGCACCCATGTTTATAGCAGCACAGTTAGCCAGATCTTGGAAAGAACCTAAATGGCCATCAGCAGAGGAAAGGATAAAAAAAGTTGTGGTATTTTTATACAATGGAGTACTATTCAGCTATAAAGAATGATCATATTGAGATATTTATAAATAAATAAAGGCAACTTGAGACCATACTCATAAGTGAAATAAATCAAACTCACATGTATAAATATTGTATAGTCTCCCTAATCTAAGAAATGGTAAGAGTACATAAGATTTTATGGTAATCATGATTCCCCATTACATTTCTTTGAAGCCTCATAATGATTTTATTTATTAGTTGGAATGGTTTTATTCCGTTTTGTTTGATTTCATTATGTGTGATAGTATGAACAGATACTTTGAAGCAAACAAGTCATTATGGCAGCCATTTCTGATTTAATATCATCTTGCTTTGAAGTCCTACCATGCTTTTGTTCTTCTTTTTCCATTGTTTCTATCATGTTGTGTCCTATTGGATTTTAATATGTGTAATAATATAAACAAATTTTTATGGAAATGAGATATTTGATTAGCCATTTTTCATTTTCTGTTATTTGGTTTTGAATGTCCTGTAATACTTTCATTCTCTTGAATGGTTTTATACTATTTTGTTATGTTTGATATTAATGTGTGGGAAGGTATGCTCAAGTATTTCAAAGAAAAGAGAGTTTATGATAGTGACTGTTAATATCCAGTTGTCTTGTTGTGAAGTGCTGTATTGCTTACATTGTTCTGCTCTGATTTGCTTTGTTCTGTCCTCTTTTGTTTTATTCTCTTTAAAATAAAAAATAAAAAAATAAAAGAAAATGAAGCCCCCAGTTACAAATGTTAGAATGAGATAACCCTGGAATCACGAGGAAAAATTTTTATCAGAAAACTGACTTAATTTTAGTGCTGGTCTTCAAGATGAGCTCATGAATATCCATCCAGGTGGCAGATCCTGAACTAACATTCAATCCAGGTTTGTCACAAGACTCATACAAAATTCACATTACATATTACATTATATTAAAATAAGTGAATTTTTAATGTATTCTGAAGACATCTTTTCTCTATTGATTTTGTATAAATGATTCTGTCTTTGTTTAGAAAAATAAAATTCAGCATGTAGTTCAATAAAACAATTGACAGACAATCCTATTCTGTTTCAGGGATGATCATACTCACTGCTCATATTCACCCATTTGGTGCAAACTTTGAAAAAAAATACAGCAGAATGCTCTCATCTTGTCTTTTAATTCCTAAAAAGATATCATACTTATCAAAACCTGGGATATTCCTATGGAAATAACTACATAGAACTGAGCAGTTCTTGAAAAACCTAGAGAACGCGTGAATATCTCAATAAAGAACACCTGGACCACCTAACAAGATAAACATTGAGAGATGTCTAGCAGGAAGAGGAAAAGCTTCTCACGAACTCTAGAATGAACAGGAAAGATTGAAGCCTAAATGTCCACAGGTGGATGAGATGCTTCTAGGGAATCCCCTCTTGATTTTCTCCCAAAACTAACAAAGATATCTGTCCTTCCCTACATCTCTATTATGCAAAACAGAATGTTCTTTTGATGCTCACATCGTCTGAACCTCATGTCCTGAGCATCAAATGTTGACATCCCAGAGATCTGTACTGTGTTGCTGAGGCAAGACTGCAGCTCTACACAGTTAACAGAGCCCCAACGAAAATGAGACCTCGCTCTGGGTAGGACTCACATAGTTTGTGAACGCTGAAAGTTTCAGAACTTCACCACAAGGAATAGCACTTTTACTGATGCAATAAGGCTAGTGTTTGCCAAAAAGGGATATCAAACAGCACTCACCTTCCTGTAGGACAAAACATTTCCAAACAGAGGTAGAGGTTTAGGCCCAGGAATTCCAAGCTTCTTAAAAAATCCATGGGAATAGGTCGCATATCTGTAGTGAAAAAGAAAGCAAGGTCATAGGAATTGTGACTTTACACACATTGAAGTTCACCATTCACTGACTCAGAAAGTGAAATAGTCAAGCTAGGGATGGTAACCTGTAGGCTATAAATAACAGCAAAAACACCAACAGCAATAAGTGCACTCACTCAACAACTCCTTTCCTGTCTTCACTGACACTCTTCCTAAAATTCACAATGATTAGCTAAAATCAGTTGAACTCATTATTCTGCCAATCCTACTTGATAAACATCTCCAATATTTAAGGCTCCTAAGAGATTCAGGCTGGAATTTTTCCAGGGTACTTCATTTGCTTATGTCAGTATGGGAAACTGATTCCTCTATGAAGTGTGAGGATGCTCATTCTGGTAGGAAGGGTGGGGAGTTTCTTCAGCTGCAGGGATAAAACTTTGTGCAAGTGTATCTCTGTTCAATGAGTCAGAGCCATGGAGCTCCTCTGGTAACATTCTTCCTACAGTTTGTTCAGAGGTTATCATGTTTACCCTTCCCTCTGAGCCATGTCTCTGTTTTACACAATCTGGTCCTTCTTAAGTTTGCTTACCCAGAAATTTCTGGGATCAGTCAATTTATTTTTAAAGTCTCAAATGCTCCTTAAATGACATTGTGAAGAAGAATTAATCAATACAGAATCCATGTCTGAGATTTTCTTCTCCTCACGCAATTTGGGCCTTCAGCTGGTGAGGTCCACCTGGTAAGCACATGTCAGCCTTGCTAATATTTAGCAAGACTATCAGTCACAAAGCAGTTAAGTTCTTATCTCTATATGTTGACTGTGTACCAAAATAATCTATTATGACTGGTGTTCCCAGGGGAGGCTTGCCTTCAATTCGTCTAAGTTATGTTACCTGTGGACTTCCACACCTAGGAGTAATAGGTCCTGCAGATCTTCCCTGAATGACAGGTGGAAGGCTTCAGAAAGAAAAGAAGCTAAGGAAAGAGACCACTGGTAAGCATTTTAAGCTTACAGATGCTAGTCCTAAAATCTAAACCCCATGCCAACAAATTAGAAAAATATAGCTAAAAATGTGGTGTGTATACATAATCAATAAGACTCCCAAGGACCTGAAATACAGATAAGTGAGGCATATAGAACTCCGACTAGCCATTACCAGAATAAATCTACACCCAGACATATAATAATCAAGATCCCAGAAATTCCTTACCATAATAGAATATTAAAAGTTGTTATAGAAGAGAAACCGATGAACTATAAAGGAAAATCTATCAGAATCATGGCAGACTTCTCAACACAAGTCATGAAGTCTAGAAGAGCTTGGAGTGAAGTGTTTTAAGTCCTGATAGAAAACAACTTCAACCCAGATGAATGTACCCTGCAAAACTATCTTTCACAATTAACAGAGAAATAACATACTTCCATGATAAAGAACAACTGAAGGAATTCATGACCACCAAACCAACCCTAAAAAAGTGCTAATGGATATATTAGAGAGAGAAAGACAGTGACTTTTCCAGGATCAGCAGCACAGGGTTATTGTCAAGACAGGATAGGAAACTGAATGGAGGGGAAAAGTGAGGGGCCAACGGCAGGAGGATAGCATAGCAGAGATGAACCAGAGCATGTCAGTTGTAAACATCAATGTACATGGCCTCTACACATTGATAAAAAGAAACATGGACCAAATGGGTCAGGAGATTTATACAATAAACACAATTGACTTGAAAGCAAATTTATGGGCTGAGGTCAGAGAAGACAACGGTCCATGTGGTGAGGATCTGAAACAAAGCAGGAGCAATGTGCCTGTCTATTGCAGAATGGACAGGAAAAAATGACATCTTTATACAATGGAAAGCTATTTATCTATAAAGAAGGATAATCTCGAGGATTTTGCAGGTAAATGAATGCAACTTGAGATCATGCTCATGAGTGAAGTGTGTTGGACTCATGTGGGTGAACATTTTGTTGTCTCCCTGGTATAAGTAATAGAAGGAGATAGTGGAGTCCAAAATGTACAACAGAAGCTGTAAAAATGAAAAAGGAGGAAATGTCTTAGAAGGGAAGGTGGCAGCCATTGTTAGTTTATTATCATTTTCATTATTTGGTTCCGTTTGGTTTTATTCTGTTTGGTTTTTTTATGTCCGATAGGATGGGCAGATATTTTGAAGATAAGATAGATTATGGTATCCATTCTTGATTTCCTATTACCTCATCTTAAAGTCCTGTATCACTTTCATTGTTTTGTTTTGATGATTTTATTTTATTCTGTTTTGTTTGATTTTATTATGTCTGATGGTATGGGCAGCTATTTTGAAGATAATAAGAGGCATTATGGTAGCCATTGTTGTTTTCCTATTATCTTAAAGTCCTGTATTGCTTTCGTGTTTGATTTTGACTAGCTTTATTCTATTTCATTTTGTTTGGTTTTATTCTCTTTAAAATTAAAAAAATTAACTTTGCATGTGCTTTCAGCTACAAGAGAGGGCACCTTCCAAATAACAGCGACCTTCTTATTGACTAAGTGCATTATGCAACATAAATTAAGAAACAATAATATGTTCTAGGCAGTTTGATAGTTTTCTCTTATCTAAGTTGAGGCTTTAAACAATATATGGTACAATATTCTGTAAAATTCCAATGCGTAGTGTAAAATCCATAACAATCTCCCATGAAAAGCTCTGGTTTTGAGGGACTCATCAGGGACACCTTAGAACAGTCCTGGTAGGGGTTAGGATTATTCTCCAAGATCCAAATGTGCTCTGCTCTAAAAATTCATCATTTAGGGGTAAATAAATCCACACAGTATTGGGTAGAGGAATCGAGTTTTAGGAGGGATGATATTGTCAGAAAGAAGTCACAGAAAAGAAGGAAGCATGGAGTTAGCCCTCCCATGAAATCTGGGGTACACTGAGGAACCTTGCATGAAACACATTGGGGGATAGGAGGGAGACAGAAAACATCCTTGTCCTTAAGCTGCAAGCCTCTCTCACATCTCTTCCAACAGAAAGAACATAGAGTGCATGAATAAGAGACACATTCAAAGCCCATACAGCTACCCTAGATTCCGCAGATTGGAAAGAAGTTGAAGTTCCTACTGCATATAATATACAATTGTTCATAATGTGCTTGCTGAATTCTAGTACATTAGTCTAAATTCAAATGTCAGTCATACCATCCGCAGGAGTGATAAAACCATATCAACAATCTTTCTAGCCAGAGGACTCGGGAGTTATAACACAGGAGAGTAGAATGCTTAAGGTACCTTTATAAGGTCAATAAGAACCTCATATTTTTGTAACAACTTCCCTTCCATTATCTTTTTTGATCAGAAAAAGAAGTCCAAACTCAAAGGTATAGAGATGAGGAGCCTGAAAAGTTACTCACTGATACAGAAGCACCAGGCTAAGGGCCAGGAGAACCCAAGTTTCCAAGGAAAAGCTGGGGATCAGGTCCATTTCCTCGTGCGATTATCTCTGAGTTTCTCCCCCAGCTGAATTTAGGGTTGTGCCTGCAGAGATTCGCTTGGATTCCCAGCAGGGATTCAGTGAGGACTGCATGTTTATATGCTGGAAAAGGAGGTGTGAGCAGGGCAGCAGCCAGTAGAAAGGCTAGATGTAAATCACTTGGAGTTAGGAGGAGAAAAGTGCCCTCTCCAGCTTGGTAACTGGCAAAGAATTATGCACATTCTGACTCTGCCTTACACTGAGCTCATATTTAATGGAAAATCAATACAATTCAATCAATGTTATCTGGAATCCCAGTGGTTATTTACTCTCAGGAATGTAAGCCATCAGCATTAAATTTTCTCCAACCTCCCCTAGTCTTCATGGGTACTCTGATTCCAAAGATCACAAAAACCATTCAAACAAGATATTTCTACAGATTTTGACATATCCATATGTAATGTAGTTTTACCTAGTGCATAATCTGCCCTTGTGTCCCATAGAATACTCTTAAGAATCCTTTAAGACTCAAGAGGATCACTAGTTGAAGCCCAGCCTGGACAACTCAAGAATGCAGCAAGACTCAAATTTTTCAAAAATGGACAGGGATACAACTCAGGTGAGGGCCTTGAGTTCAAGCCCTAGTACTGATAAAATAAATTCCAGATCAGACCACTTCTGCCCATGGAGTTTTTACCAAACACTTCCATTGCCCAAATTATGTCTGCTGTAACATTTCTGTTATTGTCTTCCCTTTTTTCATAGCCATTGATGATTTTCATGCATACATATTTCCATTACCAACTTGTGAAATTGTCAAAGGAATAGTGGGTATTATTCATCCTTCTGTTCCTTGTCTTTAGCAGAATATTTTCCCTGCAGGGTGCTTTCATACAAATTGGGTGAGTTGATCCTTAAGAATTTTGGGCCTCTCATGTTCTTTCGTTTATCTCTTGGGGAGCACTACGTCTTCTTGGATTTTTAAAACAACGAAAGGAACCATCTGTGAGGAAAACACTATTACTAGAAGTTCAAGTTTGACCTGAAAAGTTATGTTGAGAATAGAGCCTTTAATGGAGGGACAGAAAATGGATGAAATGTAACTAATGATTACACTGAACAGTATCAACTTAATGCACCTTTCAGGTAGTTCTTCAAAGTGGTCTTCCCCAAATAGTATGTTAGCCATATTTTGGATCAAATAATGGCTGGAAATTTCTCTGGATAACTCCATGTCTGAGATCAGTAAGCATGAAAAAAGAGAACAGTCTACATATACAAGTGATCTCAAACACCTTAGCCACCTTACCAAAAGTCACTAGAAGCAGCACATACTACACAAGACTCCAAACAGATGATTCTAGCTTTTAAGGAGGTGGAAAATAGGCATCATTAGTAGATGCATGCTGGCTTTTTGGTGAATAACTACTTGAAGATGTGAAGAAGAGAACTTTAAAGACGGGGAGGTGAATACTTGTAACAGTATTACCTGTCACCTGTGAGTCTTCACTATATTTGTTATTAGAGGGACCCTATGACTCAGTGCTTGAAAATTATATAGACTCCTTATCATTACTCTCACTAATGTCCCACATCTTCTTGGGATGTGCATCTGAGTATTACATAACCAAAAGAAAGACCTCAAAGTTCTTAAAACTCAGCATAAATAGAAGACACCTAAACTGAGCTTGTACATATCTGTTTCTCTATATTATTTCTGTGTAAGCCATCCTTCAGAACCTGACACTCAGTCTTCAACTACCCTTCTCATTCATCTGTCTTGTCTCTGGAGATATATGACATGGGCCTAAATAGATGGATATCTCATGGATAAAATGTTTTGTCACAACCATCTCACTTGCCTCCTTTATTTATTAGGAGCTAGTTGAGCAATTTAAAACCTTATCCATAATAACCTGTTACCTTTGAGTTAAAGCTTTCCCCATGAGGGTCCAAGTAAAATCTATTGGCAATTTCTATAACTGCATACATGCATACTTATATCCACTTTCCCTTGCAAGGTGTAATAAGCCAGTAAGTCTATTCACTCATGCACTGATTCAAGACCAACTGTGGGCCTGTCATGTATAGGTTCTGTACAAGGTGTAGTCTAGAATCCATTGTCTTTTTCTTCAGCAATTTTCTGAAGTAGAGATAAAGACACATAAATGAGCATAGATGGAAGTGTGCATTTGATGTACCTATGAAATCACTGGAAGAACTGAGCTGTTCAAAGATGTCATTGTGAAACAATTTAGTAGAAAACATGGATATTAATCATAGGCAGACGTGAATTTGGGAGACAATCTACAGAAAAACTAGGATTGAACAATCAAGGAGTTCTAATACATTTCTGACTCTTTTATTGGCTTCACTGAAGAGTGCTTACCAGGATCATGTTTCTAACCCTCATTTACAGAGATAGGAAAAGAGCTTGAGTGACTAGCAGTAGCTTTCCAACAGCTATCATGGAAAACATTATATATAAAGCTATAGAGACTTTTTAAATTCTTCTAGTGCTCTGGTATATCACTCAACTTCTGACATGCCCTGACAAGGGTCATAATGATAAATAATGAGGCTCAAGTCCTTAATGGTACATTGGATGAGAACTGGCTTCTAATCTCATGCTTATTCCCTCAGCAGCTCAACATGACTCATGAGAAACTAATTACTCATCACATCTCAGCTGGGGAAAAGACGGATGCAATTTAAGAGGGATGTCTATCTATCTATCTATCTATCTATCTATCTATCTATCTATGTATCTATGTATGTATCTGTCTCTCTGTCTCTGTCTCTCTGTCTGTCTCTCTATCTCTCTGTCTTTCTCTCTCTCTCTTTCTCTTTCTCTCTCCCTCCCTGTAACAAGAGAAGGTCACAGAATGCATTCAAACAGGAGAGATGAAAATGTCAGCTCTGGAAAGGGCTGTGGAAAGTTTCATTAACTCCCTAAACTCAAACCCTCCTGATCCTTTTTTTTAGAAATCAAATTCCGGTGGAAATTCATATATATTGACCTTCCTCCAAATCATATATTTTTTAAGGTCATGTTATACCTAAAACTAATATAACCTTCCACCTTCCATTCTTATCTCAAAACCTGTTCAGTGTGCTTGAAATCTATGTCAAAGGAGGGAAAAGACTGCGTAACAATGTACTCACTATGCAATTTTTTATTTTATAGATAAAAGGTATAACTAAATTTCATAACAGAATAATAGGAGAATAACAATAGTCAATACATTACATGTTGTTATCTTTAGTTGCTCAAGGTACAAGATATGGGCATAAAACTTTCTCTAATTTATATTAGTGCAAACTTTCCATTTAGATGAACAAAGAGACACTAATATCACTGACTTGCATTTTTTACTTTCCCCTGTTGTTTTATCCCATTTCACTTTTCCTAGTTCCTAGTTCCTTTTTCCTTTGGAGAAGTTTCTTCCCATTTTACAACTATTCTACATTTTAGACTTTATTTATGTGTTTGGTTTCTCACAACTGGGAGACAATATGATGCTTACACATGAGTCTGATTTATAACACTTACGAGTACGGTCTCAATATTCATCCATTTACCTACAAAAGGTTCAAGTGGACACCGCAGCTGCCTCCCTGGAGGAGTGAGTTGGGCTGAGCTGCAGAACTCTGATCCAGCATTGCTGATCACCCTCTCTCACCCGGAGTGCACACTGCAGCTGCCCACCAGGAAGAGTGATTTCGGCCAAACCGTGGGACCCTGTTCTGGCCTTGCTGATTGGCCTCTCTCACCCAAAGGGCACACAGCAGCTGACCCGCCTGAAGAAGGGAACTGGACCAAGCTGCGGGAGCTTCCTCCAGCCTTGTTTGTGACCTTCTTTTGACCTGGAGAGCACCAGAACTACTGCCACCGCTTAGAGGGGGGAGCAGCTCTGCTGAGGAGGTTTGAGGCCTACCTAGGCCATAGGGGAACTTTCTATCAGCTTAGGGAGCTTTGTCATCCAAGGAGCTGGATGGTTACACAACATCCAATCCCCAGGAGAGTACGAGATCCTTGCTTTAGGGGGTTGGGGGACCACTGGGCTTGCAGCCACACTAGATTGGGCTTAGCAGGATTTGGAATTGCCTGGACCACACCAGGTCACCTTCTTTCCCTCAGGGGAGCTTTGCTGCCAGAGGGGGGAGCTGTGTAGCTTGAGGAGGCTTTAGGCCTGCCTGAGAGGAGCTTGGCAACCTTCTTATAATCTGGGGACCTTGCTGCCCAAGGAGAGAGCTACACTACCAGAGGAGTCCCAGGAGCCCAGCACATAGGAGACAATTTCCAACACGTCCGGGGGAAGCTATGGAACAACACTTGAAACACGGAAATATAGAAAAATGACAAAACACCAAAATGCAATCTCAAACATCCAGCCCATCTCAAGAAAGACAAGGAGACATGTACTTAGAAGAAAATACATGCCATATGCTTGAAATACCTGAAATAATAGTAACCAAAATAAAGAGGCAACTCCGGGAATCTTTAAAGGAATTCAAACTAGAAATGACCTCTCAGGTAAAAGAAGAAATGTTAGGACTTCCAGGAGAATATGGTGGACAGATAACAGCTGCCATGGAGGCTCTCTGAGACTGCCAGCTTAGAATCCAGGAATGATGCGGTGTGAGGAGTCCTAAGCAAAGGGAGATATACCCTGCCAACCCAAGAACAAACTAAGCTGGGAGAAACCAACCGGAAATGCAATCCCAGTGCTATAACAGGAACAGATAAAATTTCAGCAGGGAACCTGGAACCCACACCTCTGGAAGCCATGATTTGAATTTCCTGCTGCTGCTGCTGCATCTGAATCAGCACAGCAGGGAGAGAGATGGGCAAAAGCTCTGAGAGTGGGAAATAGCAAAGGGAAAGGAGTTGAGAGCAAGACTGGCAGGGAGCCCTGCATCGACCTGTGGTGAGTAAGAGGAACAGGGACCCTTTCATAGACTACAAGACTCCAACAGAGGACATTCTGGGGCCACGCATACTAGCCAGAACAGGACGCTGCAGTGACTTTAGTCACATATTTCCCAACAAAGCGGGATTGGTAGGGACTCCTTGGTCT